TCCCTTCAAACGGGATAAAAATATTTGGGTATATTTAGCAAAAAATGTTCTGAATATATCTGACTCTCATCTTGCAGGAGGAACTTACGTTGAGCAGACTTTCACTTCATGTCTTCTAGGTGTCTGGGCTCCTTTGGAAATCCTTAGAAATCATACTGTGTTTGAGCATATTGAAAAGAGAATGACTTACTCTGATATTTATAACTGGGGACCAGTGGTGCCTATAAAGGACAAGGAAATGTTTTCACTGAAGGTTGCTAAGGTAGCCCCAGCTAGAGAGTGTGCAACTTGTGTCAACTGCGCTAAACATTGTCTTGTGCTCTCAGCAGGTGTGAAGATGAATTGCACCACCAGCACTGACAGAGCTTATGCTTATGCTCACGTTAAACTTCCCCCAGGGTGGTTTCTGATATGTAAAATGTCTATTCCTGTGTTCCAGCAAACAGCTCTGGGGGACCATGTTTTCTGGGAAGACTGACAGTGTCTATGCCTCAGAAGCCCCACCTGATCCGGGTTCAACGAAATCCCTCCCTTACACCTGATTGTATCGGTGACTTATGCCTTTTTAGCCCCGCTGAATACGTGTCTTTAACTATATTTGTAATGCCAGCCATGGTCCGATTAGCCTACACTAGGGCCAAAGCTTTGAATGCCACCTCGCAAGCCATCAGTGCCATTTAGTCAGGAACTGGGACAAGTGAGAGAAGTGTCGGAAAATCGTGCAGCTGGAGACTACCTCCTTTTAAGGCATAATCATGGTTGTGAAGCATTTAAAGCACTCTGCTGTGTTAACCTAACCGATAGTTTACAGCTCATCGAGCATAAAGTAAAGCCAGTAAATGATGTGCTGTCCAGTACAAGAGAGAGAGAGGGATTCTTTGGTATTGACTTGTCTAAGCTAACCTCCTGGCTGCCTGGTATCACGGGTCTTCGAGAGGCATTTATGATTTCAATCCTTGTCGTTTTCTTCGATACCATAGCTTGCTGTTGCATTACAATGTGCCCCTTTATGTGGGTCTGCAATTAGGTGTCTTCCTGAACCCCCACCGGACAGTCCGATGCCAAGTTACATGCCCAACAACAAAATGAAAACTTCCTTATGAAGCTGATCTCAGAGAAATGAGACAGTTTAATACTAACGGTGGGGAATGATAGGGGACTCAAGACTGGGAAAATTTTAGTTTAAGTGATAGCTAATAAGCTTAGTAATCCATGCAGGTAAAAGCTTTTGTTCCGGGAACCGAAGGTGTGACCCACCCTGACTCCAGGAGACCCTAAGCGGTCCCACCTTTGTGCCTCGGGAGGACTGCAAGCCATCAAGATGACATCTGAGTCACTGAGTCACTCCAGGGCGAGGTGACCACCGCCCAGGACACAGCTAAAGAAAGACCATCGCCCAGGGCCAGAATGCCGCAGTGGTTTTTTTTTTTTAACCCAATGAACTCCTCCCTGAATTCCCAAACCCCTCCCCACACCTTGTCTGTCCCCTGCTGTAAAAACCTTGGCCGGGAAAGAAAAGACAAGATGGTCTGTTAGGGTGCGAACCCGCCCTCTTCTCAGGTCGCCGGCCATCTGAATAAAGCGCCCATAAAAGATTCAATCACTGTCATTGCTTATTGGGTTTGGTAGTGACAGGCCGCCCGAACGCCGGTGTCTTTTCCGGGGTCAGTGAGAGCCCTGGGTTCCTTCTGTGGCTTCCATCCCCCTCCGGACGCGAGGGTGCGCTGTGACCCACCGGTCGGGACCGGTCGGGCGGTGCCGCCCTACCCCCGGTCTCCTCTCGCTGAGCCGCGCTTCCGGCGGCTACCGGAAGCCGGGGCCTGAGGCATGGCGGGGGCGGGGCCGGGGGAGGTGCAGCAGAGCCGCCTGGGGGGTCCCTAGCCCCCGCCCTTTGAGCCGGGACCGACAGGTGAGGACTTCTCCTTCCTAAGCCCAGCCCACAAGGCCGCCGGGCCCTCCCCGACGACTCCTCAGGTTACCGCCCTGGGGCTGCCCCCCAGTGACCTGAAGACCCCACAGCCCCCGCCCTTCCCCACATTTTTGTCTTCCCCTGGAGGTCCTGCTCCGGACTTGTCTCTCCAGGGGCACCCCCCTTTGTGTGTGTGTGTGTGGTGGGGTGCACCCGCCCCTCCATCCTGCCCATTTGGGAAGCTGTCACAAGCAGTCGAGGACTGTGTGCACCTGTTCCCACGGGGAAACGGAGACCCAGCCCAGGGAAGAGGACCGGCACCACAGAAGGAGCTGGTGGCCGGATGCAGCCAGGCTTGCTTTCGTCCCGTAAATAAAGTGCAGGACGCACACTGCATGTGGGCCAGCCGTGGTGCTGGCTCTGGGGGCAACCCCAGGGAACTCGAGCAGACAGGCTTACGTCCCCTCCGGGCAGGCCAGTAGCAGGCACAAAACCACGCAAGCCAACGCCACAGATTGTGACCAGTCCTCCGGAGCAAACAGACATACAACGGGAGGCCAGTTTTAGAAAGGGTCATCCGAGAGGACGTCCCGGAGATGTTGCTTAAGCTGCAACCCGGGGACTCATGGCCAGGATGCAGAGGAAGCACATCCCAGGCAGAGGGAACAGGCAGTCCCTGCCGGAACCTGTGCGTGGGCAAAGACCTTGGTGTGAGGCAGGTCCGGGGTTGAGGAAAGGAGGCTTAAGATGTGATAGGCCCTGTGGTGGGCACACGGAATGCACGGTGTGTCGGCTGGGGCAGGAGTGGGTCAAGGGCATAAGGAAAATGCAGAGACAGAGCTGCACGCATGGTGAGCGCCGTGAAGGGAGGTGTGGCTAGGAGATGGGTGTTTTATCGCATGGGGAGGTGATGGAAGGCTTCTCTGACCGAGGGACAATTAGGCGGACACCTGATGTGGGGGTTAACTGGGCAGAGTGAGAAGAGCTGTTGCAGACTGAGGTTCACGGCCAGGGCCGAGGCGCCGAGGCAGAAGGCAGCACCGCTGCCGCCGAGATGGTCAGCGTGGAGTGGGAGAGGGGGCCGGGGAGGGTGCGTGGAGACCCGTGGTGGTCCTGCTCAGGATTCTGGCCCTGTCACTAAGGGCCATGGGAAGGTCCTTCATCCACAGCGGAAAGGATGTGGCCGCAAAAGCATTTTAAAAAAGAGCACTCTGGCTGGTGGCGTGGATTGGCCGTGGGCAAGAGTGGGTTCCGAGGGACCAGGTAGGGAACTGTGGCAGTCATGTGGACGTGACACGGACACGGATTTTCCTAGAATGAAGCACTTGCTTTGAGTAAAATGACCAGGGCTTTTTCTTTTTTCCTAAGTTGAACAACTGTAGAGTGTTCTTTATCTGACTCGTCTGTGAGGTTAGTCAGTTAGATGCCATCAAATACCATTCTGGTCTCCCCACCTGACTCCAGCCCTGTCTCACGTGGGGCAGAGGTGTCCTGGGCAGACATTGAGTGAGGCGGCTTTGTGCATCACTTGGTGTCTTTTTTTTTTAAGATTTTATTTATTTATTTTTAGAGAGAGAAGGGAGGGGGATAGAGAGAGAGAGAAACATTAATGTGCAGTTGCTGGGGGTCATGGCCTGCAACCCAGGCATGTGCCCTGACTGGGAATCAAACCTGCAATGCTTTGGTTCGCAGCCCGAGCTCAATCCGCTGAGCTACGCCAACCAGGGCGACTTGGTGTCTTAATGGTGTGTTTTTGAGGCTGTGTCGAAATGGCCACACGTGACAAGGAGGAGGCATGTGGAAGTCAGTATCATGCTTATTGTTCAGATGTGGAAGGGATGGCCCACTTCTTCACGCCAAGTTCCTCTGCAGAAGCGCCCGAGAGATTCCTTTTGGACTCCGGTGCTGCCGAGAGCTATGCTTCTCTCGAGGAGCTGCTGTGTGTTTCTCTTATTGGTGGGGCAAACTCGGGGACCGGCTGTGTTTTCCTCCTCGCCTCTGTGTGGAGACATCCACGGGCGTTTGCTGTTTCCTGGCCACAGGCGTTTGCTGTTTCCTGGAAGCAATGTGTTATTGGGTTGTTTTCAAGATTTTTATTTTGTGTTTTGGTTTTCCATAGTTGGGTGTGTCTGGGCATGGATGTCTTTGGGGTTATTACGTTGAGGGTCCTATGAACTTCTTGAGCCTCAGGCTTATATACATGAAGGTTCGTTTCTGGGCCCTCTGTTGTATGCCATTGGTATGGCTGTCTTTATGCCAGTACCACACTTTTTGATTACTGTAGCTTCATAATATGTTTTGAATTCACGAATTGTGAGACTTTCATCTTTGTTCTTCTTATACAAAAACCGCTGGCCTTTTGGGGTTCCTTGAGATGACATGTGCATTTTAGGATGCATTTTTCTATTTTTGCAAAAAATGCTGTTGAGATTTTGGTATGGATTACATTGAGTTTGTAGATTGCTTTGGGTAGTATGGACATCTTAAGAGCCCAGTAAATATATATATATATGTGTGTGTGTGTTTTATATATAATTTATAATATATATTTTATAATTTATAATATATACAAAATATAATTTATAATATATTATGTATTTTATATATAATTTATTTTATTTTTAAATGCATTTTATTGATTATGCTATTACAGTTGTCCCATTTCCCCCTCTTCACTCCCCTCCACCCTGCACACCCTCTCCCACCCATATTCCCCCCTTTAGTTCATGTCCATGTGTCATAAGTTCTTTAGCTTCTACATTTCCCATACTATTCTTACCCTCCCCCCTGTCTATTTTCTACCTACCATCTATGCTACTTATTCTCTGTACCTTTTCCCCCCTCTCTCCTCCTCCCACTCCCCCTGTTGCTAACCCTTCATGTGATCTCCATTTCTGTGGTTCTGTTCCTGTTCTAGTTGTTTGCTTAGTTTGCTTTTGTTTTTGTTTTAGGTGTGGTTGTTAATGATTGTGAGTTTGCTGTCTTTTTACTGTTCATATTTTTTATCTTCTTTTCCTTAGATAAGTCCCTTTAACATTTCATATAATAAGGACTTGGTGATGATGAACTCCTTTAACTTGACCTTATCTGAGAAGCACTTTATCTGCCCTTCCATTCTACATGAAAGCTTTGCTGGGTAGAGCCATCTTGGAGGTAGGTCCTTGCCTATATTTTTTAATGAACATACACTGAAAAAAATCTGATACAGTCTAGGTTTGCTGACTGTTCCCAACAGCTGTGCCTGCTCTGAAGACACTCCAGTTGGGTTAGGCCCTTCTCTCAAACCCGTTTCCAGACCTGGAAAGGTCCGGACCACGCCCTGATTATAGTCAGGGAAGCAGAGACGCTGACCCTTGTCCTCCCGAGGCCTCCCAGGCTCAGGGCATGAGGAGGGAAGTCTCTCTGACTCGTGCGTGTTTTGGTAACTCTTGCTTCCTCTCCTTAGACTTGACGACGTTTCCGTGTAGAGATGTGATGATGGATCACCATGTCCCCACCATCAAACCCCGGAGGATCCAGAACCAGAACGTCATCCACCGCCTGGAGCGCCGGCGGATCAGCTCCGGCCGGGCGGGCACCCACTGGCACCAGGTCCGGGTCTTCCACCAGAACGTCTTCCCCAACTTCACGGTGGTCAACGTGGAGAAGCCTCCCTGCTTCCTGCGCAAGTTCTCGCCCGACGGGCGCTACTTCATCGCTTTCTCTTCGGACCAGACGTCCCTGGAGATCTACGAGTACCAGGGCTGCCAGGCGGCCGAGGACCTCCTGCAGGGCTACGCGGGCGAGATCCTGTCCAACGGCAACGACCAGCGGTCCGTCAACATCCGCGGCCGGCTCTTCGAGCGGTTCTTCGTCCTGCTGCACATCACCAACGTGGCGGCCAACGGCGAGCACCTGAACCGCGAGTGCAGCCTGTTCACCGACGACTGCCGCTGCGTCATCGTGGGCTCGGCCGCCTACCTCCCGGACGAGCCGCACCCGCCCTTCTACGAGGTGTACCGGAACAGCGAGTCCGTGACGCCCAACCCGCGGTCCCCCCTGGAGGACTACTCCCTGCACATCATCGACCTGCACACGGGCCGCCTGTGCGACACGCGCACCTTCAAGTGCGACAAGGTGGTCCTGTCGCACAACCAGGGGCTGTACTTGTACAAGAACATCCTGGCCATCCTGTCCGTGCAGCAGCAGACCATCCACGTGTTCCAGGTGACCCCCGAGGGCACCTTCATCGACGTGAGGACCATCGGCCGCTTCTGCTACGAGGACGACCTGCTCACCGTGTCCGCTGTCTTCCCCGAGGTCCAGCGGGACAGCCAGACGGGCATGGCCAACCCGTTCAGGGACCCCTTCATCAACTCCCTCAAGCACCGGCTGCTCGTGTACCTGTGGCGCCGCGCGGAGCAGGACGGGAGCGCCATGGCCAAGAGGCGCTTCTTCCAGTATTTTGACCAGCTGCGGCAGCTGCGCATGTGGAAGATGCAGCTGCTGGACGAGAACCACCTGTTCATCAAGTACACCAGCGAGGACGTGGTCACCCTGAGGGTCACGGACCCGTCGCAGGTGCGAGGGGCTCTCCCGCCGGCTGCTTCTCCCGTCTCCTCGGTGGGAGGCGGCGGTTTCTCCCTTTGCGTCGGGGCCCCCCCTCTCCGAAACCCACGTCTTGGGTGGCCTTAAACATTTGCCGTCTTGGGGTTCGGTCAGACCTTAAACAGCCGCGTTTTCCTCTGGCCACGAGTGTGTATTTGGGTACATGGAAGCTAAACCTCAAGCCGTTCCCGTGTAGATAGTCACCTCTGCGGTTCCTACCTTCCGCAGAACGTTTTTAGTGCCCCCGAGGGGGAAGCCCCCATGGGGGGCAAGGTCAAGGTGTGGACTCCCTGGGGGTGATCCCGCCTTGATTTTGTAAGGCCGCTTGTGGGTCTGGCTGTTGTAGTCCCGGCAATAAGAGTGAACCCACCGTATAAAAACTCCTCTGAAAATCTAACCTCTCTTTCCTGCGTAAGTGGCTCATGCTGATACACTGCTTCACGAAGTCGTCTTTAAAGGGTGACAAATAGGCAAGTCCACCGGATGGAGTCAGGACTTAGGACTTTCCCTGGACCCCTCGCACGTAGGTTGGAGAGCAGTGAGAGGAAAAGGAAGCCCAGGCTTTGGGTCCCCCGAGCGGATCATCAGGACCGCAGGGCCTGAGGTTCTTCACGTGGGTGGAAGGTGTTGGTGGGGGAGAGGGTCTGGACTGAGACGTTGGTAAGAGGCCAGAATCCTCTGAGATTCTGGGACGGACACACCATGTTGAAATTCAGGGTAACCTGGGCGTTTCCCTTTAAGAAGCACCGCACCCCAGTGCAGACCGAGTAAGAGACCACCTTTCTGTACCTTTGCCCCCATTCTCCCGTGTCCGGATTGTCTCCTTAGATGCCCCTTGGAAACTCCGAACAGGTGGCGAGCCAGCAGACCACAAAGTCACCTGGGTTTGCTGCTGCTGCTCGTTGACCTGTGGCTGGTCTGCCGTTAGGAGACACGGGAGGGGGCCTCGTCTCCTGAGACCTGGCCGCCGTCAAGGTGACGTGCTTTCCGATACCCTTCTTTAGCGTCACGGTTCACGAGTTCTTTAAAAAACGGGGAGTGCGGTGGGTTTAGAGATCATTTTTTTTTTAAGATTTTATTTATTTATTTTTAGAGAGGGGAGGGAGGGAGGAAGAGAGAGAGAGAAACATCAATGTGTGGTTGCTGGGAGTCATGGCCTGCAACCCAGGCATGTGCCCTGACTGGGAATCGAACCTGCAATGCCTGGTTCGCAGCCCGTGCTCAATCCACTGAGCTACGCCAGCCAGGGCGAGATCATTTTTTTCTGCATTCTTTTTTTCTTCCCTGTCAATGACAGAGTCACCCATGGGGGCCATCACTGGTTCGTCTTGTGTGGCGTGGGAGATGGGCAGTGAAGCCCTTGACTTCCGCACCCTCCTGTCCTGTATTTCCCAGTCAGTCCCAGGGGGGTGGGGGGTGGGGTGGGGTGGGGGAAGCTGAGAGGACGTTTGTGTGTAACTCTGTACTCATATAATCAGAGTGAATCCTGATGTGATCAGAGTGGTGCCCGGGTCTAGGACCTGAGTGGCAGGACCCGAGTGGCTCTTTTATTCAGAGTTGAGCTGTAATGACCTTTTTTGTTCTGGAGGGAATAAGAGGTCTGCGATGGCTGCGTCTGAGATTATCCCTTTTTTCTTCGAGAAAAGCAGGACCCCCCGCCCCCCATAGCTGCAATAAGTTGTAGCCAGAAATGTTACCAGGGCTCTGCACTTTGCTTAACAGAACCGTAAGGCGACACCCAGTCCCTCTGCCCCAGCCGCCTCTCCCTCCTTCCTCAGTTTAATTTGATAGGTTCCAATAAGGTTAATGAGCAAAAAGCGCATCCAAAACAAAGCCGTGCTGATGTGAGGGGTATTATTCTCAGGTTACCCTCCAGCCTCTTTCATTTGCAGCCAAATTTAATTTCCAGGGGTTCACAAAAGTCATGTAATCCAAGCTCTGGGAAGGACTAATTACGAGTAAAACGGGTAGGCCAAATGGCTCCAGAAATTGTTAATGGAGATTGAAACTTAATCACAGGAGTGGGGCGGGGGGCGGGGGGGACTAATCTCAGTGTTCTGAAGACTGCCAGCACCCTTTCGGAAGCCTGCAGATGGATTGACCCTGTCCCCTTCGCTGCGACAAAACTTGTTCCTGGGGCTTCCCTGTGGGGCCAAGCAAAGCAGAGCGCTGGAGGTTTGCAGGGGTGGGGGGGGGGGCTCGCCACCCAGGCACCCATTCAAGGGAAAGCAGTCACTCTGCCACCTGTGGCATCTGCGTGCTTCTCAGGCCCCCCTCTGAGATTGCAGTGTCACCAGTGTCTCTCCCAGATGCTCTTGGCGAAGGCACTTTTGTGGAGGGGGAAGCGGGAGTGTCTCTCTGATGTTCCGTTGGCTCAGCAGCAGGGCCCGGCTGGGGCACAGCTTGCCTGGGCAGTGTTAGGACACAGTGTACTGAAGGCCGCCCTCTGCATGTCAGAAATGTTAAGAAGAAAAAACAAATGCCTCTAAATTGAACTTTCAACAGTACATATATACAAGAGAAAATAATTTGTCAACAGGCAACTCTAGGTTGCAAATTAGTTTCTCAGTGGGAAGGAAAATTAAATCTGGCATTTTAAAAAAGTATCCCCCCCCGCCCCCACACACACAGGGTAGGTTGGGGAGCAAGTAGGAAATAAACACTTAGAAGGAAAAATAATTGAATCTGCACAGTTTAAAATGAAAGGTGGACGACCTTTTTGTATATAAATGCTGGCCGGGTCCGTGATGCTGGCAGCACAGATACAGTGGCAAACCTGGCAACATTGAGGCCCGTGGGTAAGAAAGCCCACTGAGCCCCCCGCCAACTCTTTCCCAGAACCACTCAGAGCCACGTTTCAGCCCGAGTGCTGCAGTGTGGAAGGGTTCGCGTGTTTCCCGTGGCAGCTTGAGTTTTCTTTTTCTTTTTAAAGATTTTATTTATTTATTTTTAGAGAGGGAAGGGAGGGAGAAAGAGAGAGAGAGAGAGAAACATCAATGTGGGGTTGCTGGGGGCCGTGGCCTGCAACCCAGGCATGTGCCCTGACTGGGAATCGAACCTGCGACACTTTGGTTCACAGCCCATGCTCCATCCACTGAGCTACGCCAGCCAGGGCTGCAGCTTGAGTGTTCAGCCAGTTGATACATCTGCTCGGCGAGGCATCCCACGGAGCTGTCCCTCAGGGCTCTCTGTCCCCCCGCAGGCGTCTTTCTTTGTGGTGTACAACATGGTGACCACGGAGGTGATCGCCGTGTTCGAGAACACGTCGGACGAGCTCCTGGAGCTCTTCGAGAACTTCTGCGACCTCTTCCGCAACGCCACCCTGCACAGCGAAGTCCAGTTTCCCTGCTCCGCGTCCAGCAACAATTTTGCAAGGCAGATCCAGCGCCGGTAAGCCGTTCCGCCCCTCTTCACGGGCTTGATTTTTCCTCAGTTTGTTGGGGTTAGGCCCGTAGTCATTACCTGCAGGAAGTCATACTGCAATCTTATCCTCTGATGCATACATCTATTTCATCTATCCGACAGAATCGTATCCTAATGTAACATATTTTGTTAACCATCCTTTCCTACTTGGCTGCATGGAACATATAATCTAACATGAGTTACACTTATTTTTTATCTCTTGGGAACACAGGGCTCTAAATGCTCAAATTGATAGTCTCCAGAAATCTGGTGGTAAAAAAAAAAAATTAAATGAAAATGGATCCGTTATCATTAGAAGAGAAGTTTCAGGAAGAACACGGACACCAAGACTCACGAGTCGCTGAAGGAAAGCCGTTAACCCCGGAAGGCAGAGAGAGCCAGCCCTGCGCTCCCTGGAGCAGCCGACGCTGTGAGAACAGGAGCTCTCCCGGAGCCACGACACGTGAGAAATCTAAACCTCATTAGACAGAGTCGAGCTCCGCAAGGAAGAACACAAAGGTAGGAGAATAAAGACGGGAGACAGAAGAGAAAGGATGGGGACAGAGCCACAGGATTTGCCCTGGCGTTCCGGTACCTGGCGAGTTCCAGAAGGAGCAGGAGAGGAAACGAAGGCTGGGACGCCGTGAGAGGCCGTTTTCCAACCCTGAGAACACGCATTTCCAGATCGGCAGGACCGTGTGATCGTGTGCTCAGGCCAGCTGACACTGGTTCGTTTAACTCACCGGTTGCTGGTTAAACGTGAATGAATTTTTGCAAGCAGACTGTTACACACATAGCCGTCATTCAACATGAACTGTTTTCTAATGATTTCGCTGTTCTATGTGTCCTTGCGGTTGTCTGTGTCTGTTTTTTCTGAGTGGTGACAGTACTGGGCACTGATGTGCTGCTGCTCACCTCCGGACACCTGTGCGCTCAGGGTGTCTCACCGCGACCTTGACCCTGACCTCTGCAGGGGGGTCATGCCACAGAGACCGGCAAGGCTTCCCGTCATGCCTTCCCCCCCTGGAGAAATGGTTATTAAGCCTTGGTTAGCACATCGCTGGATTCATCAAGAATCCAGCACAGTGAAAGAAAGACCCGTACTGACGCATGTCGCCGTGAAATGTTTAAACACTGGGGACAAAGAGAAAACTGTAAACATTTCCAGAGAAGACATACATCTCACAGGTAAAAAAAAAAAACCAGTCATCAGAATGGTGGTGGCCTTCCCATCGCAGCCCTGAAAGCTTGGAGTCGTGAATGTCGTGTCCTCAGGCCGCTCTGAAAACAAGGACGTCCAGCCAATAATTCTGTACTCGACTCATCATGGGAGCAAAGACATTTTTCAGACAGGCTGTCCCCCCCAAATTGCTCTCCCTGTACCTCTTCTAAGAAAGCACCTGGAAGATGTGTTTTAGCAATAAACACAATTTGAACGGCATGGGAGATAGTTTGATGCTGGAGAGAAGTGACGTGAATTCCAAGGATGAAGGTGGAGGGAAGCTACAGCAGGACGGATGCCAGCTGGACAGGCTGGAGCGGGAGGGCGGCGATGGCTAAGGGGGTGTATCTGAGCAAATACTACAGTCACATTGGATGGTTTTTGCGTGTTAACAGGAAATTGTTGGTTCTGTTCTAGTAGGGTCCTCAACACAAGCCTCACTGAGAAGGTGATATTTGAGCAAAGATTTTTTTAAAAAATATTTTATTTATTTATTTTTAGAGAGAGGGGAAGGGAGTGAGGAAAGAAAAGCAGAGAAACATTGATGTGTGAGAGATACATCGATTGGTTGCCTCTTGCACGCCCCCTACTGGGGATCTGGCCTGCAACCCAGGCATGTGCCCTGACTGGGAATCGAACCTGTGGCCCTTCGAATGGCTGGCCAGTGCTCAATCCACTGAGCCAGGGGCTGAACACAGCTTTTGAAGTAGGTCAGGGAGCAAGCTGTGTGGACGTCGGGAGGAAGAACACACCCAGCAAAGGGAACATTAAATCTAAAGGTCCCGAGGTGGGCCTCGTGCATGTGAGCAGCAGCACCAGGCCGGCCGTGGTGGCGGGGCTGGAGCAAGCAGGAGGCAGAGTAGTCAGAGATGCAGTTAGAGATGGGGCCAGGCACACAAGGCCATTCTGAGGCTTTGGCTTTATCTGCAGGTGAGATCGTACAGGGTTTGAGTGGAGGGCCTACGTGGTCTCACTCATGTTTTAACAGGGTCACTCTGGCTGCCGTGTTCAGAAGAGACCCTAGGAGAGTAACGTCGGAGCAGTTAGGAGACTATTGCAATGATCCAATAAAAAAAAAAAAATCATTGCGTCCTGGCTGGTGTAGCTCAGTGGATTGAGCTCGGGCTGTGAACCAAAGTGTCTCAGGTTCGATTCCCAGTCAGGGTACATGCCTGGGTTGCAGGCCATGACCCCCAGCAACCGCACATTGATGTTTCTCTCTCTCTCTCTACCTCCCTTCCCTCTCTAAAAATAAATAAATAAAATCTTAAAAAAAATCATTGCATTTTGTTTCCTGCTAGTAAGATTTAAGTTCTTTTTTTTTGGTTATTTATGATATCCTAAGCACCCAGAAGAGTGCCTGGCACATAGTAGGCCATCAGTAATCACTTGTTTACTGAATAATGGTGGCTTGGGTCAGGGCAGAGATGGTAGGGATGGTGAGTAACTGTATTCTCAAGGCATTTTGGAGACTGAGCCCAAATGATTGGTGGAGGAGGGACGTGGGCTGTGAGAGAGCACAGAGAAGGTTCCAGCATTTTCGGCTTCATCAGCTCGCAAGAGAGAGGTTCCATCGCGTGGTGAGGGCAGAGCTCGCGTGGAGCCAGTGTGGGGGGACCAGGGCTCTCCAAGGGGCGCGGTCCAGTAGTTTCTCCGTGGGCAGGTGTCAGCGCCTCCTGACGGGTCAGAGACCAGGGGGTCTGATCCTCAGCTTCTGCACGTAGCGACCTTGCGGAGAGGAGTGGGGTGGGGGGTGGGGGGAGTCTGTTTGGGATAGGGTGAAGAAAGAGTAGGGGGAGGAGAACAGGGGAGAGAACCGAAAGGTGTTCTGGGGAGTTTTGTCGTAAAGGAGACCTGAAGAAGGAGGCCTCAGTAGCTGGAGGAGCAAGCGGTGTCCAGGTTTTCGTTTTTTTAAATGGCAGGGGGAGATGGCGTGTTTGGAGGCAGACGGGCGATCCTTTGGACAGGGGAAGCCGCTGGTGTGGGGAAGGGCGGAGAGAGTTGGTTGAGAATGTGAGAGGGGGCGGGGTCTGGAGGGCAAGGGGCGGAGTCGGCCTAACAGGGGAGCCCAGGTCCTTACATTGGAACAGACGTGCTGACGGCAGCCGGGCACGTCCCCTTCTCACGACTTACGTTTGTCAGTAACGACGCAGGCGATGCCGTTGGGTGAGGGGGAGCTTGGGGGAGGGGGGTGAAACAGTCCCTGAGGAGTGGGAGCCCCACGGACTTGGGGAAACGCCTCGTGGGTGCTGTGCGGCATTCAGGGCCCGCAGGAGGGCCGTGGTTGCACATTGGAAGTGAGCGTTGTCGCGTGTTTATCTCCGGCCACGGTAATCTCCCGAGTGGTACGGGCACGGACGAGGCGGAGTTGAACTTGGAGTCGTAGTTTTCCCAAGCAAGCACCACAGAGCAAGAGGAGGCGGGGCGTCGAGGAGGTGCGCAGTGCAGCGACCCGCTGTGGAAGTTAGGCTCGCTAAGGAAGGAGGGGAGGACGCGATGAGGCTGCGGGGTGGCAAAGGGTTGGTGCAATCGATGGGTCTCGCCACCCCACCCACTGGGGGCGGGGGCTGGCAGAAGCTGGGAGGAGCAGAGGGAATGAGTGGGAAGCGGGGAGAGAAGATGGTTGCAGAGTGGGGTGCTCTACTGTGAGATTGCAGGGTGGGTGCAGGCCTTGGCCACGGTGAGACGGAGGACCCACCCGATGGTGGGAAGGGGTGGCTGAAACAGAGAGGAGGTCCAGGAACCAGGGGGCCGTGGTGTAGGAAGAGTCCTCTCTAAGAAATCGAAATCCCCGCAGATCAAGAGGGACAGCGAGTCAGGAGCCAAACTGGCAAAGAGCCAGAGGGAGATCTGCTCCATCTTTCAGTCGGCGGGGGGCTGGGGAGTGGATGCCGTGGGAGCTGTTGAGGTGGGGTCGGGGGGGCGTTAGAAACGGCTTCAGCCTGTAGATTTCATGGAGGCTCTGATCTGTGATCATCACGAAGCGCGGGCCAGCCCCCCTCATTGCGCCTCTCGCAGCCCACGAGGCAGGAGGGTTGATGTGTGGGTGGTGACACGCAGCACCAGCTCACATGAAAGGGAAAGAAGTTCCGTGTGGCCCAAGGTTCAATTTGATGAATTCCACAGAGGCCGTGGACACGACTGTCCAGAGGAGCGATGGGAAGGCCGTGTTGCCAGGGGGGCTCCCTGCCTGGGGGGGAACGAGAAGGGCTCACGTCCACCCAGCACTCGGGGTCAGCAGTGAAGCAGAGCTCACCACCATCTAATCAGCCCTCCTGGTCTTGTCGAAGTTAGGGACCCTCTGTGTTTTTACTTCATTAGTTTTTATGCCATTGCTTCAGGGATGAGCTGTTATATTCCCTCCACGCCGCCAGACTATGAAAAATTTATTTATTTTCCCTTGGATGGCTAAACTATATGATGTGCTTTGGTATAGAGATTTTTGAAAAAATACATGCCAATTGATGATAGTCATTCTAAGAAGCTGTAGGAAAGTGAAGAGGAAGGAAGAAACCCAAAACGTCATTACATGAACCCAGCAGTTACCATGTTGATGTATTTTGGCCAGTCTTTTTCTCAGGCGTAAATTTTTGTTTTCTGTGTGGTTTTAATCGTCCTCTATAGACACAAGTAGCCTGCTTCTTTTACTTACCACTTAACAGTTTTCCTGTTATTATATAGTATTTGAAAATTTGTTTTCCACGTAGATTTTATTTTTTCCTTCAACTTGTTGGTCTTGTGTGCTCACAGGGAATTTTCTGCAAACAGGGTTGCTTCTTTCGGGTGAACTTCCAGAAGAATAGGAATAGCTGGTCCAAGGTTTTTTTTATAAAGATTTTATTTATTTGTTTTTAGAGAGGGAAGGGAGGGAGAAAGAGAAAGAGAGAGAAACATCCATGTGCGGTTGCTGGGGGCCATGGCCTGCAACCCAGGCATGTGCCCTGACTGGGAATCGAACCTGCAATGCTTTGGTTCGCAGCCTGCGCTCAATCCACTGAGCTACACCAGCCGGGGGGGGGGTCCAAGGGTTTTAAATCTGGTGTTTGTCACCATCGTGAGGAATAGCTGCTCCATTGTTATTTATTGTTAGAGGGAAGTCCGATATGTGACCCTGTCCGTGCTACTATTCATACGGACGTTGGTGTTTCTGCAGGGTGTAGGGAGTTGGCTCTCAACGTTACTCAAAGAAAGGATGAGTAATTGTCAGAAGGTTTGGCGAAAGTGGGCTTACAACTGATCCTAAGATCAGTCAGAGAGAAGCTGCTTTACTCAGGGTTCGCCGCTCTCCGTCATTCCTTCTTAATGCAGGCCATGGCTGTTATTTGGGAGGGTCCATTCAAGTAGCAATAGTTGTCACAGGTGTCAGTGATACTCACTGTCAACTTGTTTGTAGAGTCTTTTAAAAAATGTTTCTGCTCAGTGGATTGAGCGTGGGCCTGCCAACCAAAGCATTGCCAGTTTGATTCCCAGTCAGGGCGCATACCTAGGTTACAGGCCATGGCCCCCAGCAACCGCACATTGATGTTTCTCTCTCTCTCTCTCCCTCCCTTCCCTCTCTAAAAATAAATAAATAAAACAACAAAAAAAGATCTTCTAAAAACAAAAAATGTTTCTGAAATAATGGTCTCTGGTCCTGTTTTCTGCTTTTTTTTTTTTTTTGAGAGTCTTTGAAGCTAGCCACAAGTGTGTGTGTGTGAGTTCTGACTTCTGCCAGGGTTTGGCGTTGTATTTGCAGAAGGAATCGTTTTTCCGCAGACGTTTGTCCGTTGAAAGCGTGTGTCCGCTAACATAGTGTTCCTCGCTGGTGCTTCTTCGTTGCAGGTTTAAAGACACCATCGTCAATGCCAAGTACGGGGGCCACACCGAGGCCGTGCGCCGCCTGCTGGGCCAGCTCCCCATCAGCGCCCAGTCCTACAGCGGCAGCCCCTACCTGGACTTGTCGCTCTTCAGCTACGATGACAAGTGGGTGTCCGTCATGGAGCGGCCCAAGACCTGCGGCGACCACCCTATCAGGTAGTACGCCGTCCCTGCACTTGCTGCAGATGGACAAAGGGCGGGTCTCTACCTGCCCCCTCTCGCCCTTCCTCTGGGATGTCACTTATTGTCATTGAGTCCTTTTGCACTCACGGGTTGAACCGGAAAGGCTGGCTGTTTGGTCACTCAGGCCCTAGTCTTATAATTGAACAACTTCCACTCCGCTTCTCCTCAAAGCACCCAGTTCAGGTGCGTGTGGTTTGCTTTGAAAGGTATCCAGGGGAAGGAAACAATACTTTTCCATGCGGTAATCTTATAGTGCAGGCTTTTTAATTTTTTTAAGAGTTATTTATTTAATGCATATTACGTGCTGAGTACATAAGTTTTCTCATGTGATTTTTTTTATAAGATTTTATTTATTTATTTTTAGAGAGGGAAGGGAGGGAGAAAGAGAGAGAGAAACATCAATGTGCAGTTGCTGGGGGCCATGGCCTGCAACCCAGGCATGTGCCCTGACTGGGAATTGAACCTGCAATGCTTTGGCTCCCAGCCTGCGCTCAATCCACTGAGCTACGCCAGCCAGGGCAGGATTTTTAATTTTATCTAGCTCAGATTATCGCATTCCCCAGTCATCTAATAGAAAGGGCAGCAGAAGCAATTTGGGGAACAGGAGGTTTTGGAGAAACTCCGGCGTCCTCACTGGGGAATTTTTGGAATGTAGATAATGACACTTGTAAACATTGGGGTGTTACTGCTGGAGCCTTGCAAGTAAACTCTGCCAGGCTGTCCCTGCCTCCCCGAGGGGAAGTTCTCAGAGCCGCCTGTTTCCCTGAGTCGGGAGCTTGTGTTGCTGAGTGTGCCGTGCAGGGGGCGGGGGGCAGGAATAGGCACCTCGGTCCCCGTGGGGTGACGCCGGGGGAGGAAGGCGTGTGCCTGCAGCCCAGAGCGGGCGCGTGGGGCTTTTTCTCACAACAACAGCATGGGTGGTGTTTCATCATCCAGCTTCACCGTGTGTTAATGGGGCTTGTGTGTAATATTCTGCACCATCAATCACCATTCATAACATTTCCTTTGGGAAATTGCAGTCACGTTCCAAACACCACGTGACTTTTTTTTTTTTTTATTGTGGAGCATTGCAAACATATAAATAGCAGAAGAGCATAAGGAACCCACCACCGAGCTTCAGCACTTACCAGCTTACAGTCAGGGCCGCCTCACCCCTTTTTGCCACCACTGCCTGCTCTGCCCGGCTGTCGCCCCGGGCCGTTCTGGAGCAGCTCCCAGCCGCCCTGGCCCAGTCCTCGTAAGTGTTTCAGTGTGAGCTTTTAACAGATATGGCTTAAAAAAATACAACCTCAGTGCCATTATTTCACCTAGGGAAAATGAACAAAACCTTATTGAGACCGCCAAAAAGTTAACCCTATTTCCCATTTGCCCATGGTCCCATAAGTATTGTTTTCAGTTCGTTTGTTCCACATCAGATTCTAAATGAGGTTCCCGCGTCATGCTGGGTCGCCGTTTCCTTCCGTCTTTCTTATTCTGAAGGTCTGGTTTCCCTCTTCCTTTCCTCGCAGTGAAACTGTTGGAGGAACCAGGTCGTTCGACCTGTGGTGGTCCCCACGTTCCAGGTTCTGCTCGCTGCGTCCCTGGCGTAACGGCCACCGGCTTTCCCTGCCTGCCGTGTTTCCTGTGGACTGGCGGGCAGGTTTGGAAGCTCAGACAACTCACTTTGAATCCTAGGCCCTTTGGGTGCTGGGGACTCTGCGGCTGAGGTCTTTGTGTTTTTCACACCTAAACACATGTAATGGGCCTCATTGGATGTTGTCAAGTAGCATGAGATACATTTCTCACCCTTCCAACTTGCCTTTCTGGTTTGAAAAGATTAACCCAGCCCCAGCTGGTGTGACTCAGTGGATTGAGCTCTGGCCTGTGAACCAAAAGGTGGTGCACCAGTTCGATTCCCATCAGGGCACATGCCTGGGTGGCAGGCCAGGTCCCCAGTAGGGGGCGCGTGAGAGGCAACCACACATTGTTGCTTCTCTCCCTGTCTTTCTCCTTCCCTTCCCCTCTCTTTAAAAATAAATTAAAAAAAAATAAAAAAAAAAAGAGATTAACCTAATAGCACATCCGGAAATGCCGTAGCACCCGACTAAAGGGGTTTTCCTTGTAATTCTTACTTATTTGTGATTTAACATGGGAAGTGGAAGGATGTTAAAGGTACACGAGGAGGCTGCACCGTCACTCTAACACCTCGGTTGTACGTTTCGTCCCAGTCCCTGTCAGCGTGCTTGTCTGCGTTCGCACCGTTGCGGTGGCGGTTAGCGTGACACCGTGTGGTCCGCGTGTCTTAGAAACGTGTCTGCATGTTGTCACGTAGTCCTCACAGCCGCAGTCCTGAGGAGGGCACAGTACTCCCTCAAATCAACGTTCCTGCCGTATTTAATCATCCCCCTCTTACTGAGCGTTTATTCCTCTTTCTGCATTGTGCTGCTAGAGCGAATGCTGCACCAGCCGTCTTTCTCCATGTCACTGTTCGTTTACGTTAAATTCTAAGGGTACAAATTCTTGGACGTGGGACTGTTGAGTCCAAAGGTATGAGTATCTTTATGTCTATTATGTATTTGCTTTCTAAAGGGGAAATTAGCATTCTTTAATGTAGGTTTTTCCTTTTCTAGAACTCTCCCCAGTTCAACCCCAGCCTTGCTGGTCGGTCAGCTGTAGTGCTCAGTCTCCCAGGGCACTTACTTTGCATTATGGGTCTGCGAGTACCGGGATGGGTGGTGGCGTCTTCAGTCTGACGGTATTTGATGACAAATTCAAAACTGCTTAGTATTCGGTTTTTGTGTGTGAAAAAGAAGAACCTGCCAAAGAATTTGTTCTTAAAAATGAAAAACTCAAGTGTATGTCTGGTTCCGCACTGTCCTGTGTGGGAGCCGGTAGCCATCAGCCCCATGCGACTGCTGAGCACTTGAAGTGCCTAAAGTTCAAGTTCAGGTGCGCTCGAGTGTCAAACGCACATCACATTTCGGAGGGTTAGTACAAAAAAAAAGTGAAGAAGCATGTGAAATAGCTTGTTAATATGTTTTATATTGACTGTAGACTGAAATGATGATATTTTCAGTATCAGTACTGGATTAAATAAAATACATTATTAAAATTTATTTCACCTTAAAATTTTTTTTTTAATGTGGCTGCCTACCCCAAAATTTTAAATTGCCTACATGGCTCACATTTCATTTCTAGCCCTGGCCTAGATGGTTCTAGGACAGGGAGCATCTGGAACATGGGGGGCTGTAATTAAGGCTGTAACTAAGGGCTATTTTGGGAGAGAGAAAGGACCCAGTGACTTACAATAGGACGACAGAGTGAAATTCAGTCACCCTGCCCCTAAAGTGAGCTGACAAGACCAAGGGGATTTTGCACTTCTGAGGACCCCGGGCTGGCGTGAGAGGGGATTTCATTATAAGGGAAAGGAACAAGCAGCCGTGTTCCCCTGCTGTGCGGATCTGAAGGTGGTGGTGAGTATGTCTACCGTCCTCTCTCTCTCTCGTCCTGTTTAGGTTCTATGCCCGGGACTCTGGCCTGCTCAAGTTTGAGATCCAGGCAGGCTTGCTGGGCCGCCCCATCAGCCACACGGTGCGACGCCTCGTTGCCTTTACCTTTCACCCCTTTGAGCCCTTTGCGATTTCCGTGCAGAGAACTAACGCGGAGTACGTGGTCAACTTCCACATGCGACACTGCTGCACGTAGACGCCTCCCCAGGGCCGGGCGTTCTGGTCTCCCAGGACGGCTCCCTTCCTGTCCCGTGGACCCTAAAGCAGAGCTCCGGACTGCCAGCTGTATGGACTCCAGGCTGGCTGGCCCCCCTCAGAGGGGGGAGCTGGGGCGCGGAGTGAGCGTGGCTCAGCCTAATGGCGTTTTTCGTTGCGTACAAAAACTACTGGTTGGTTTCAGGTCCTCCTGCTTTTTCCCTGTGGGAAGGTCCAGCACTAATTAAGTTCCTTTACTTTTGGTTTTTATTTTGTGTTTTATTGCTATGAAAATGAGAGCATTACACTCTTACCCCCCTTCTTGTCACCTTGGCAATGCATTAAGGTATGCATTCTGTAGCAGGTACATCTTGTTTATTCGTGAGAACCATGTACGTGTCCTTTCTACTTAGCCAACAAGCAAGACTATCTTTATAAGAAAACAAAAATAAAGTCTTGGTATTTTCTTACTTATGTATATCCTGTTTGATGACTGCCTTATGTTCCGATCTCACCAAACGCTTTTCAAATACCTGGGTTCCGGGAAGGAGCGGGAAGCGGGGTGGAGGCCGTGGACGCAGCAGCCGCCCTCGGGAGGCTGAGCGGTGTGTGCCAGCACGGAAGCCGGTCATCTGCCAGGACCGCCGCCCTCCCAAGGGGTTTCGCCTGGTAATTGTCGCCCAGCTGGAGGGGCCGGGCGTAATTGCACACCCTCGCGTGCAGGCATGCTCCCGCCTGCGCCATCTGCGTCCTGCAGGCGGAGGAGCGAGCGGCGCTCTGGCCGCAGAGAAGCAGACACTGTTTAGCACGTACTGCGGTCGGGGCAGCGGGAGCTGGCAAGCTCCAGGTGTCCCCTGAAGAGATTGGGCTGGCTGTTCCTGGACGGCTGAGCCATCGCAGCTGTCCTACGAACACCTGCCGGCCCCCCGCCAGCGTCCTTCTGTCACGTCCTCTGCTGGTCCCCCGCCCGGGGGCCGCCGGGCTGTCCGTGTTTCATCTTCATAATGTACCCGTGGTCTGTGCAGTAAGCTTGTTAGCGACATCTGACTTTGAAGGGCCTCGGCGCCGGCTGTGAAAGGAGCCGTGGCCGCCGACAGCCGATCCCGTGCCCTTCCGCACCCAGGCCGCCCTCCCTGGGGGGCGCACGCGGTGCGAGGCGAGACGCCGAACCCCGTCAGCGCCGGTCGGCCCACTTCCTCATCTTCGGTGTTGAGCAGCTCAGTTCATTCTCATTTAGCGTTTGACCCGCTGTGCTGGCCTACTGTGAGTCAAGGAGATGCCCAAGATGTTAAGAGTGACGAGTGGCACAGGCAAATGAAGGGACTTATGATGCAAAACGGCAAAAGCTCCAGGACCGCGTGTATCTGGGGACCGTGGAGGGGGCGGAGGGAGAGGCGGGCGAGGGAAGCTGCGCCGGGAAGGGACACGGGCGCTGGGTAGATGGGCGTGTGCTGCGTGCACCAGGGCAGAGGGCGTTCCCAGGAGAGACCCAGCACGTTCCGGGGCGCGAACGGGGCTGTCGGGCCGGTGGACTGGCCAACGGTGGGAATGTGGCTAGAGCACAAGCTGGGGACGAGGGCAGGGAGAAGTGGACTGACTCCTGCAGAGCAGCCTTGCACCCCTGCCAGGGGTCCGTGCAGCGCAGGGCAGGCCGTGGGTTTCACACAGGGATAGCCTTCGGCAGTCCGGAAGACTTCCTGGAGGGACAGGAGACTGGAGGGAGGGGGCCAGGGGGGTCAACGGCGGTGCTGCAAAGGGGAGTGGGTGGCTGGGGCGGCACCCTCCTGGGTTCTTTGTCGGTCACGACCACGTCAGGGTCCCGAAGCAGTCACGTGGCTGGAGCGCAGAGCTACCCTTTTTGGTTTTCTTGACCGTATCAGCCTCTTGATGGGCATCTGTCTGTGCCCCTTCTCTGCCCGTCCCCCTGAGTGACAGATCCCTGCTTCTAGGGAAGGCCACCTCCTCCCTGCCCCGCTGCGCTCCACCCGTCTCCTTTGGGCTTCTCTCAAGGCCTTTGCTCCCAGAATCATTTCCCCGCTGTTGCATCACCCGGCTCTTGATAGGTCATTCCCGTGAGCACGTAATAAATGTGCTCGAGAAGCACCCTTCTTGGAATAAGAGCCGCTGCTTTGGCCCCACGACCCTTTAGTTCCTGCCATTCCTCTGCTACCCGTCACAGAAAAAACTTCTCGGAAGAGGTGTCTACGTGAAACATGTTTGCTTCCCTGCATTCTGTCATCCCGTGACTCCCTCCAGGTGGGGTTCCGTCCCCGCCGCCGCGGCAGGGAGACTGCAGCCGTCTGGGTGGCCGGTGAGTCCACGTGGCCAGGGCAGTGCTGCCCTCTCGCCCCGCCCTTACCCAGCCTCCCAACCCAGGACGTAACTGATTTCTCTCCGCATCAGGAAACACTGGCTTCTCTCGGTTTTTCTGGATAGTACCTGCGTCTGGTTTTCTTCCCGCCTTACTGATCCTTGGTTCCTGGTCCCCTTGCTGGCTTCCCCTCCTCCTGAGCTCCGCCTGCAGGTGTGGGAGCACCCCGGCCCTCGGCCTTGGGGCCTCACCTCTTTCTCTGTGTATGTTCCTTCTTTAGTGGATTTCTCCGTTGCCCGCCGTGTACTGATCACTGTCAAAGTGGTAGCTCTGGTCCTGACCCCTTCCTTGAGCTCCAGATTCACAGGTCCCCTAGCTTACTTGGCATCGCGGTTTGGATGCTAAGAGGCGCGTCCAAAACAAAGCTCCTGATTCCCACCCCACTTCCGACTCGGTTTGCCTCTGTGGGTTCCCCTCTGGCTTGAGTATCTACCCATTTCCTTGAGCTCAAACCTTGGGAATTCTTCTCATGTGTTCTTTTCTCCCATCCCCCCTGCTTTCCCTCCACCACCCGACATATCTGGCTTCACCCCAGGGAGGTGCCCCGGGCAGTCTGGGCCCCCTGGGATGGCCCTGTCCTCTTTGCTAGTGACTGGAATCGGGGCGAGACCCACGCCGGGCCACTCGAGGGCCTAGTTTAGGAGTCGTGTGACCTGACTCAGGCCCATGCTGCCTTGACGTCAAGGTCTCTGGGACTTCGGGGCGGGGGGACATTTCTCTCTTGAAATGTCAACGAGGAAACGCGTAGCCCACACGTGCACTGTCCAACACCCCGAGACCAGGCTCAGGAAGTGTCCCCTCGGGAGGAAGCCGACCTTCTGAATGGCAGAGTGGAGAGGAGCGACCCGGGACCACAGATGCCTAGTTGACCTTCAACCCATCTCACACCTGCACTTCCGGTTCTGCGAGGCAGGACGTCTCCCTACCATTGAAGCCATTTCCAGTTGGGTTTTCTTTTTCTTTTTTTAGATTTTTATTTATTTATTTTTAGAGAGGGAAGGGTTGGGGGAGAGAGAGAGACATCAAAACATCAATGTGCTGTTCCTGGGGGCCATGGCCTGCAACCCAGGCATGTGCCCTGACTGGGAATCGAACCTGGGACGCTTTGGTTCGCAGCCCGCGCTCAGTCCACTGAGTTACGCCAGCCAGGGCTCGAGCTGGGTTTTCTGTTTCATGCAGTTGAAAGCCAGTTAACAGGTGCAAAGAGATCCCCGCTGGCCGGACACCGCTTCAGCTCTGGTTTCCGTGAGCCCCGGTGATGACTCCTATTCCTGAGTCCCACTCCTTGGGTTTCTGTGAGGTTCTGGGCTCTCGCCTAGGCCGGGTAGCCGTGCCTGAGCCGGCCCGGAAGTTTCTTTACATCTGAAAGGACTTCACGGAGACGGGGGAGATCCAGCACTCAGCCTGTCCAGCCCTCGGCCCATTTTCCGTTCTCGGCTCCTGTGTATGTGTTTATGTCCACGTTGTTCCAGAGGCTTCAAGGCCGCTCTCAGGAAGCCCAGTGGCTTCTCTTCACAAAGGTGCCATGATCTCAGGAGCCTTTGGAGACACACGGTCTTTGGGACCAGAATGTTCCACAAAGAAAAGCAGTGAGTTTGGGGCAGTGTATCTTTCAGGTCTGAATTCTTCCCTGAACCTCTCCCCGCTCATCCCTCCCCTTCAGGGCGCTGGCGTGTCTGTCCACGATCCGTGCAGACCTGTGAGAGGGAGGCTGTGCTTGAATTTGGCAAAGCCCTTCCACCCAGAGGCCTGGCCGAGAAGCATGGCACAAATCCGAGAAAAGCCCTAAATGAGATAATTTTTAAAAGAACAGCAGCTTCATTATTTTCAAGTACACGGAGTGACTCCATCTCAGCCGAGAGTGTTCCTTTGTAGAAGGCCTTCGGGACTTTCCCTAATGAGTAGATTATAATTATCGGTAATCAGCATAACGGTCCTCTGCAGTGCGTGCTCTGGAAGCAGTTGGGCATATTAAGTGATTTTGATTGTTCCAGGGGGCAGTTTTGTTTGCAGCGTTCATCTGCTCGGTGCATGTCCTTTCCCACTATAGCTCTTTGTGTGTGTGTGTGTTTTTTAAAGATTTTATTTATTTATTTTTAGAGAAGGAAGGAAGGGAGAAAGAGAGAGAGAGAGAAACATCAATGTGCGGTTGCTGGGGGTCATGGCCTGCAACCCAGGCATGTGCCCTGACTGGGAATCGAACCTGTGACACTTAGGTTCGCAGCCCACGCTCAATCCACTGAGCTACGCCAGCCAGGGCTGCCCTTTGTTGTTTTGTACAAAAAAAGATATTCCGAGGCTCTGTGGTACCGCATCTGCTCCCCAGAGGCAGGCGTGAGGTGGGAGGTGGAGGGACTCAGGGGGAGACGCCGACCCCTGTCCCATGGCGTCCTGACGGAGGTACGGCAGCGGCTCAGGCTTGTAGGCGAGGCCTGGGCACACCCCGGCGCTGTCACCGACCAGCTGTGTAAGCAGAACTTGACTGAGACTCAGTGTCTCCTCCGTGAAACGGAGACCGCTTCTTGGCAGGGTGGCCGCGGGTCCTGAATGAGTCTTCATGCAAGCCCTTCCTCCGGGACGGAGTGAATGCTGGCCACCCTCTCCGTCTCTCCAGACCCCTTGGCCTCTGTAGTGTCCCAGAGAGCGCACCGGCCTCTCAGTGCCTCTCCCGTCCCTGACTCCCAGTCACTGTCCCCTCGCCCCTTCTCCACGCCCAGCCCCTGCTCTCCAACCGGAGGCCGGGGGCATCTGAGGTGGTGCCGTTCTGCCAGAGCCTCTGTCCCCAGCACACCCCGGTCTGAGAAAACCAGGATGTCCCTAACCCTCTTTGTAGCCGATCGCATTGGCCGAAAGGAGCTGTGTTTGCTGAGAGTTTGTTACTGTTGTCGATTGTGAATGTGCGTTAGGAGCTTACGACGGGCCGGGAGCTGTACCCTAAGCACCTCATGTAGGAAGGTGCCGGCATCGGTGCATCCGTCCTGAGACGCGTGTTTCGGAACCGGAGTGTGTCTGAGAACGGCGTCTCAGCAGCGTCCGCCAGGCCGCAGCCGCGGTGACCTCCCTGCTGCCCTCGCCCGTGTGCGTGCAAACCGAGGGTGCCCTTCGCC